TCAAAATTAAAGATCTAGGAAACCTTAAGTACTTTCTTGGAATAGAGGTGGCTAGATCAGTTAAAGGTATCCAAATTTGCCAAAGAAAATATGCGCTAGATGTCCTATCAGATTTAGGGACGATTGGAGTTACTCCAGCCAAGATTCCATTTGATCAGAATGTTAAATTGTCCAAAGATGAGGGAGACATACTATCTGATCCAGCTTCATACAGAAGACTTGTTGGGAGGCTGCTTTATCTGACCATTACCAGGCCTGATCTAACATATTCACTTGCTGAGTCAATATATGCAGGCTCCCAGAACATCACATATGAATGCTGCACGAAAGATACTTAGGTACATCAAGAGAGCACCAGGCTTAGGATTATTTTTCTCTTCAAATTCAGATCTACAACTCAGGGCTTATACTGATTCAGACTGGGGGGGCATGCCCAGATTCTAGGAGGTCGATAATAGGTTATTGAATCTTCATTGGGTCCTCACTGATATCTTGGAAATCTAAGAAACAAAATACCATCTCCAGATCATCTGCCGAAGCAGAATACAAAGCAATGGCGGCCACCTGTTGTGAATTAACTTGGCTCAGATACATACTTGATGACTTGCAAATATCACATCCACAGGCAGCTGAGTTATTTTGTGATAATCAGGCAGCTTTGCACATTGCGGCCAATCCAGTATACCATGAAAGGACCAATCATATTGAGTTGGATTGCCATTTAGTTCGAGACAAAATACAAGAAGGAAGCATTATTACAAAGCATGTAAGAACCGGTTCACAAATTGCTGACATATTTACTAAGCCCTTGTGTTTTGCTATGTTCAATTCGCATTTGTCCAAGATGGGAGTAGAAGATATCTACTCTCCACCTTGAGGGAGGCTGTTGAAGATTCAATTGTGAAGATNAGCCCTTGTGGTTTGCTATGTTCAATTCGCATTTGTCCAAGATGGGAGTAGAAGATATCTACTCTCCACCTTGAGGGAGTCTGTTGAAGATTCAATTGTGAAGATGAGCTACTGGAAGCTACTGAAAGCTGCTGGCAATTACTGGAATGAAGAAGTGCTAGCACCAAGGTTGCGGGAATAAAGGAGTGCTAGCACTAATCTGAAAATGTTAAAATAGATTCCATTTATTGGTTGTAATTGGTTGTAACAGATTTGTTATTGCCACATGAGCAAGTTTGTTGTAATTTTTTTGTCTATATATACCTTTGTATTTTGTCCATTTAATTAATCGAAAAGAGATTCACACTTAGCAGACGAATTACTGCTGCATTGATTATTTATATTTCTTGTTTCATTTGTTTTACCGACAAGCCATAGCAACGTGGTACTGGAGCAGCAGGACAGAGTCATGGCCGAAGATGGTGCCTCAGATGTCGACAGTGAAAGAGGCCACGGCGGCGTTGCTAAATTTATACGCTAGAAAATGATAAAAATTGGGAAAAATGATACAGGGTGGGTGTGTGATTGGTGTGGGTATGGGGATGGGACGCTCAACCACCCCAAACATACCCCTCGTTATTCCACCGCCGTTGATAGGTAGATCTGGTAGTTTAAGCGAGAGTTCCTATGCTGGCAGTGGACGACGGTGGGCTCTCGACAATGTATGTCTGGGAGATGATGGTGAATTTGGGAAGAATTAAATTAAGTGATAGGGTGGCGTGGTGTGAGGTATATACTTGATAATCTGATTTTTGAAATGAAAAGTTAAAAAATAGGGATGGGTGTAATTTTTACAAAAAAATTTATTAATTTCAAATACACTTTTAAATTTTATTATTCTCAAAATACCTTTTTATTATTTTTATTTAATTTTTACTATACATTTTGTAACATAATATGTTGCATTACGTTATGCACTTTCCACCACGTTTCAACCATTGCCACTTGTAACATTTATTGTTGAGCCATGCTACAGGAATCGTGGGGATGACCGCGCCGGTGACCGCACACACACACATGGGGAGTCGGGATTATTTTATTCGGGTGGGACCCTCGCCTCGGTTGTGAGGGCGCGGTCATCCATGCGGGTCGTCTAGAATAATTCTTTATTGTTACATCGCCACTATCCCGACGCTGTTATCAATTGTAACATTGCATTTTACGCTATAACCACTGATGTCATCACAAACTATTATCAAATCTAAAAATAGATCTAAAGGGAGAAAATTTGCATCACCATCAGCAATGTCCCTTTTCTTGTAGCTTTTTCACATGGTCTCCTAGTCGATCTACTTCAAGTTACTGGGAAAAATATAGTAACATTTTGCTCAATAGAGGCAAAGAATAGAAATGTTTTGCACCAATTATCCATATTTAACGGAAGGAATTGACAGAATGGTACGGAAAGAACCAACTCCACGAGAAAATGTTGAAATTGGGGTGTAAATGTCAAATTTGAAATAATAGAGATGATTTGTGCAATGAGTACAAACGATGAGAACATTTTGTATTAATTATCATATTTTTTCCCATCATACATGTCCTTTGTCGTTGGGTATCGTTTGTTACAAGACAAGTCTGTCTTTTCTATTGCATTTGAATTTTTATTTTTCTTTCTGTTTTTCACTAAATTTTAAAATCTACTTAGATCGTCTTCAAGTAAACCAATGTCAACTCCTCCGGCTACAGATGTACAAGAAAAGATTAGACAATGTCTAGTGGAGACCGGGAGTTAAAGATAAAATAGTATACTCTATATCTCGTGTGCTCGTGTTGGTACTTTGTGGGCTCCTTATGACTATCCCATGTTTCGTTCATAACT